GACACTAACTTCCTAAACTAATCTGAAAAATGGCCGAATCCGGCTCGTTCCATTGACTTTTTTATCTCAACCAAAAAACCTTAATTAATTGTAATAAAAATATTGATGAAAAATATTAATTGGAATGTTATGAATTTTTCTCGCTGTTTTACGGGCATTAGAGTTTGCCATAATAAGTTATGTTTTAAGAATTTTTAAAATTAAAATTTAAAATTAAATTTAAAATATCATTTAAAACGTTAGAAACTAATAATTTTGCAAAGTTTATGAATATTCATCAGGCGGTTGAAGTTTGCCGCAATCCACATTTTAAACAGTAAGTTGATTGCAAGAGATTTACAAAGCTCAATAATAATTACCATTAAACAAGTGTTAATGTGTAAATTATCATTTATAATGTTTATTTTTTCCATACCCCCACCAACCAGCCATATCTCTTCATTAAGGGCCTGGGTCGTTTACGGTCTAAGTGCCTTCTAAATTATACAAGCTCTAATTGCTCTTCTTTGAAGAGATTAGCCGAATGCGTGGTCCATAAAACGAGGCCGTTAGCGGTCTGTTCTATTGTACAACGTGGCAGATATCTTTAGAAATAATAACGCCCGAATATAAAACCAGAAAAATAAAAGGATTTGGCATCGCATTGAACGCTATGAAAATATCTCTAAACGAGTAAGCACATCAAGAGCAACGGCATAAAAACAAAAATCTGGCCAGTGAACTTGGCAGTTTGACGGGCTGAATCGACAGGGTTGATTTCTTTTTTAATTAAATGAATCTTTCAAGCGGAAACAGTCGACAGACTCAATTGGATCCGATAGAAATCAAATTCCATTTTCCATGAAATTTAATTTGATAAATATTTTTCTATAATTAAAACAAAACGGAATGTCATGTCCCCAAACCATTTTATAAGAAAAATGTATTTTTTTAAAATAAATACTTTAAAAGGAATATTTAAGTGTATTTATGGCTAAAAACAATTCGTTGGAGAGCTCGAGACGTTTCAATCTATTGTTTCCATTATGATCAGAGTGAAAATACGCACGGGCTACTTGATGAACATTACAATGAAAATTAATCATTAACACAATGATGAGTCCATCTCATTTCAATTTGTCCGCCTGAAATTTTTTAGGGGGATTTTTAACATTTATTAGTCTAAAATATTTCCATTCCCATTCTGTTCTCGTTTTGAGTTATAAACTTTTTAGGTAAAAAATAATGTGTCACGAGCGGGATTCGAACCTTCGGCTGGATACGCCGCTTCTCGACCACTTGAGCTATCGTGACTTCGACCCACTCGGACACTAACTTCCCATCTCAACCCCACCTTTGAATTTCCCCTCCTTTTTGCATTTTTTTTTTGAAATTTTTTTCAAATGTCGTGTAATCTATTTGATTCTCGGCGACAATTGAAATGGCCAATTGATGTACATCAAATGTCGTCGATAATTCTGAATCATCATCGAAATACGGGCACTAATCTCCACATATTAAAAATACCATTAACACTTAATTACGTAAGTTCAAGTAGACCAACGGGAAAATCATTCAGTCTACGAATGGAAGAAAATCGATTCTTGTATGACATTTTTTGACCTGGAAATGGACTGATTTCTTTGATCCCACGTTTTTAAAATTGAATATTTTTGCGTGCTAAACAATCATACTCACAAGGAGAACAAGGCCATTTTGTGGACACAATTTGCAATTTTTATTTGTTAGATTCCCAGAAAAAATATTAAACCAAGAACAATTATTTTATAAAAATATTTATCAATACAATTTTTGAACAAAGAAATACGTATAAAAAAACGGAATACATGGTTATATCTGTTATCGTAAGGATATTATGAAAAAGAAAAAAAAAACGTTTTCATACAGATCTTCCATACATTTCTAGCTTACAAATTCAACCCACAAGACATTAATAAAACCCTCAAGACGTGAATCTTGTCCTGAACACTTTTCCGGAGTCGGAACGCTCAATATATGTATATTAATTTGGAAATCTTTACGCCTGGAGGAAAACGATATTTTGTTTATTGCTTTTTTCATTTCACCCGTTCACCGAAGAATTTCATGACAAATCAAATATTTGACAGTGATTTATTGTTTATATTACTTGCCATTTACAAAGATCGTTTTTTAACGCGGGCCTGGGAAAAATCTTAAAGCTTCCAGGCCGGATCAAAATCCTCTTCCGGTCCATTAGTCCGGTCTTGGAGAAATAATGCACGCAAAATGTTTACCTTTTTTTGCACGGCGGTCTGAATATTTCCTTGAACGGAAATCTTTTTAAATGATGTAGCCTCCTATAAATAGTAATGTTTTAAAACGCTCAAATACCTGGGATTTGAGCAATTTAAAGTAGTTAAACTTTTATGAAATAAATAATAATTTTTCTAAAGATTTTTAAAATTAAAAAAAAATTATTGGAAAAAGGAATTATTTGTTACAACATAGCTAGAGTGCTACAAACAACTTTGCTGTTTTTATGAATTTTATGTTATATGATTATAAAAATATTATAAAAATGAAGAAGTAATCCTTTTTATTTATTAAATTAATTAAGGTTTTCAGTTGAGATTAAACAGTCAGTTTCACGAGCGGGATTCGAACCCACGACCTTCGGCTAGATACGCCGCTGCTCTACCACTTGAGCTATCGCGACCTCGATCTACTCGGACACTAACTTCCCATTTCAACCCCACCTTTGAATTTCCCTTCCTTTTTGCCATTTTTCAAATGTCGTGTAATCTATTTGATTCTCGGCGACAAATAAAATGGCCTCAGAGCTTTAGTGAAGATTTCCTTCATATCAACTAATTAAATTCACTAGTTTTCGTGGTCCGCTTGACCAATTAATATCTATAACTTAATGAAGACTTTTAGTTGAGATAAAAAGTCATTGTCACGAGCGGGATTCGAACCCACGATCTTTGGATAGATACGCCGCTTCTCTACCACTTGAGTTATCAGTATAAGTAGCGTCGATCCACTCGGACACTAACTTCCCAAATCAACCCCATCTTTTGAATTTTCCCACCTTTTTGCCATTTTTCAAATGTCGTGTAATCCATTTGATTCTAGGCGACGAATGAAATGACCACGAAGAGCTTTAGAGAAATATACTTCATTTTAACTTATTAAATTCACTAGTTTTCCTGGTCCGCTTGACCAATTAATATCATTCAATTGATTACGGTATTTAGTTGAGATAAATTTATTATACAGTTTTTTATTAATGTCTCTCAATTAAAGTAAGAATAAATAGAAAGACTAAATGACCTTCGAAAAATGAATTATCATGCAAAATCGAAGTAGTCGATCACTAATGGCCACTTTGCCTCTGCCTTGGTTGGTTGAATTTCAAAGCGTCGAAGCTTCAATCAGCCATCAGTTGACCAAAGTTAGACTTGATTCTGATCCGAATGATTTTTTTATATATAGCCTGAACTTCTCTCAAAGTAATCTAATTTAACATGGATAACACAAAAATGAATTTTTTGTTTGAGGATTTGTTCATTGATACAAGTAAATTAACTCGCTCGGAAATAATACCATGTATATTTTGTTGGGTTTATTGAAGGGACTTGTCAATAATTCTGCATAGTGAATAGGCCAGTTTCTCGGAATACATTTAGCATTGCTTGTGCCTTTCCCGTGAACAAATACAAATGCTGAATAGCGTAGATTGTGCTAATTCGTTAAATTATTCAAGGCATGCTCGCCTTCGAAAGCTCGAGCCTTGTTAATTTTCGATGACGTTTTTTTAAAGTCTCGATGGAAAAATGTAAAAATTCGTATCTTTATATAAAAATTTGTACAGCTTTAACTCAATCTCTTCATGTAAATAGTTAAAATTTAAATTTATAGTACGAGTGATTTCTAATTATTACAAAAAGTAATAATATACTAAATTGCTGGATACTCTACCGATAAATATTAGGTTAACAATATTGCCAAATTTTCTTACAAGATATAACAAATGCATTCAACTGTAAAAATTATTCAATTCACTAGGTCTCGTGGTCCGCTTGACCAATTAATATCTTTCAATTAATTAAGGTTTTTAGTTGAGGTAAAAAGTCAATGTCACGAGCGGGCTTCGAACCCACGACTTTCGGCTCGATACGCAGCTTTTTTTAGACCTTTTTATCTCAACTAAAACCGTAATCAATTGAATGATATTAATTCGTCAAGCGGACCACGAAAACTAGTGCATGTATAATAAAAATCAAACCAAAAAAAAGATTTATTATGTTTGATTACTTTTTAAAATTAATGAGATGCATTATCTAAATTATCAATAAATAGTATTATAACAAACATTTATGTGCAAAATGTGCTATTATTTATTTTATAAGATCTTTTTTCAAGAACAATCAGAGCCAAGACCATCGTCAAAATTTGATCCAATCCTTGTCAAATATGACTTGACAGATGTACTAGATTTTTGTTATTTTTTCCGAATCTACAAGAGCGCGAATAATTTTAAAGTTACTGCTTTCAATAAAACACGTAATCCATTTATGTTTAGTGGTCAATTGACAAATTACTTATTTCAGTTAATTATTCTTTCTATGTAAGGTCTTGGTCGAAACGAAAAAGTGTTACTAGCTGGATTCGAACCCACGACCTTCGGCTGAAAAATGAAACATTGAAAAATGACAAAATTCGAAAGGTTTTAATTGGAAATGGGACGTTGGTGTCCGAGTGGATCGAAGTCACGATAGCTCAAGTGGTCAAAGCGACGTATTTAGCCGAAGGTCGTGGGTTCGGATCCCGCTCTTTACACTATCTTTTTCATCTCATACAAAATATTTCATTAAAAAAAATTAATTGAAAACATAATTTTGATTTAAAAAAATTGGCAGTACTCTGCCTTATTAAATAAACCAATAAAAATTCATACTTCATTGAAACCAGCTTATAACTAACTATTCATGAATTAAGAAAGTACAATTTTTTTTTTTTAAATTGCTTAAAATTACCTTTCTTTGTTGTCCTGAAACTGTCGTCTCTCGGGACGTACTGGATGTCGTACATCAACGTGGTGTTGGGCAGGAGATTTTTATCCTTGTTGATCCTGTAAACCGCGTATTTGAAGGCTAGCTCCGTAGCGCTTTCCTTCTGCTCTTGGGTAAAAATCGCTCCTGGAACAAAATAATAAGACAAGGTTAAAATCAAATTGAAAATTGAAAGAAATCTTTTCAGAAACCTCTACGACCTGTTTCGTTTTGTGAAAAATAGTTCAAAAAACGGAGGATTGTACTATCCGAAACCAAATCATAAAAAATAACTTTGCCCCTTCAAAATAATCACTACAAAAGCAAACACTTAATTTACAATCATTACTACAACCTATTTAAATGTACCAACCCAACTTCCAAAGAATTCAGTTTCTGTCCAAAATTTTTCGAACCTTTTGCTCAAGCTCCTTATTTCCTTTAGGGATGGTTACCATCCCTTATTTCCTATTCAAGTAGACCTCCAATTTTTGAAACAACAAGAAGTTGATTACCGATTTTTGGAATCGTGAAATATTTGTTCTTTTTCAATTAAATGTAAAATAGTGAAAAACCACTAGGTGGTTTGATTTTATTTCTTAAAATTTATCTGTGATTTTTTTTAATTAATGTAAATTGATCATGTTTAATTTCATTTTAATTGATTTTACAATATATGACAAAAATATTATAATAACAATACCAAAATTGAAATAAAATCTTTTCCTCACGGTTCCACACATAAGAAACGAAAATTTAAGCAGAGTTATTTCCTTGTAGAAATAGCCAAACTCGTCTAACATTTTTTTGAAAAGACGCCAGTGCGAACATCTAATGCCTGATGGTAGAGCCCTTGGAAGGAAAAATAATTCACTATTTGTAAGATATTACCTGCCTGATTAATGTGTGGTGATTAGTGACCGTTAATCGATAATTATTCAGAAATCGTGAGATGCGGTCTGGTGTGATGTAGGTTTCAGAAAAACATTTTCTTTATCGTGCCAACGTTTCGATTTTTATTGAGATCATCTTCAGGGCCTGGGATTTACAAACATTGTTTACATATAACAATTACATTTTGGATGTGGAAAAGTGAATTTATACAATGCAAAATATATTTTTTATATATTCAATCAAAGTATTTCTACTCACTCAACTTGATTCTACTCACTTTGATTGAATATATAAAAACTATATTTTGCATTGTATAAATTCACTTTTCCACATCCAAAATGTAATTGTTATATGTAAACAATGTTTGTAAATCCAGGCCCTGAGGATGATCTCAATAAAGGTCGAAACGTTGGCACGATAAAAAAATGTTTTTCTGAAACCTACATCACACCAGACCGCATCTCACGATTTCTGAATAATTGTCTGATTAATATATATTTTTTTTTAATTTGTAGTACAGGGTGGTTGTACTTTGATGTAGGTAACGTATAACAATGAGCAAGGTATTATTTAAATATTGTTTGTTTAATTGATACTTGTGCCATTATCACTTTCACCACCATCACCATCACTTCGTAGATATCGCGGCTATTGTCTCTTCAGTCGGCGAGCAAGGTTCAAGGGAATTCGTTGGGCGGTTTCTGATTTGCTGATTTACGGTAGTTGGTAGGGCTATATGAAATTTGCGGTAACGGAACTCGATTTCATCTTGAACGAAAGAAATATTTAATTCTGTATGTGTAGTTTCATTCGAAACATAAAAAGTAGCATCTAGTATTTTTGGTAGGTTAAGGATTTGGCAGTTTGAATGCGGCTTATGTTGGAATGTTTGACTGAACCGCACACTTCAGGTCCGTAAGCCCATATTGGTTTAACTATGGTGTTGTAAAGCAGTCTTTTATTTTTGAGAGGTAAATCCGAACCTAGAATTTTATCGCAACTTAAAACATTAATTAATTGTAAACGTTCATCAAAAAGTCGTGCAAAAGGTCTATACCGTGCCATAACCTCCTGACGTTTCAGACATGTGTGAGGATTCCAGGTGAGGCGTTGGCCGATGTACAGTCCGAGGTATCGGACCTCGTCTACAGTTTGGAGGGGAATATTAGTTAGAGACACAGTAGAGGGAATGAAGGTAATGCGGGTGGATTGTTCTGTGTTAAATTTTATCCTTTTATTTTTACACCAAGACACTAGCAGTGTGAGATGTTTCGAGTGGAAATGACAGTCGGAGTTTGCTAGAGTGAATTGCTGTATCGTCTGAAAATGTGAATGTGATGGTTTCGGGATGAGATGGCATGACAGCTCTGAACACCTGGTAAGTGTAGGGACCAGATGGCTCTCTGAGGAACACCAGCATGGATAGGAAAATCTTCAATGAGGTAATAGCCTTCGATGATTTGGAAAATCTAGACAGTGTCGTAACTGTGTAGTATAAGATAGTAGGTGGATGGAAGGATGGCCTTGAGCATGAACAGCAAGCCCGGGTGCCAACCATGATTAAAAGCTCACCTTAGTCAAAAAAGTCCGCCCGAAAATTACTGTCCCATCCCAAATAAGGATGAAATAATGTCTGCTATGCGATGACACTGTTGGACAGTTGAGTGATTGTTGCGAAAACCAAGTTGATGGTCGTGGATTATATTTTGAGAATTTAGAATTGAAAGAATTCTTCGCGACAAGAACTTTTTTTAAAATTTGAACCAAATTGGGAAGTAGACATATTGGCCTATATGAAGTAGTATATTGTGATGGTTTTTTTATTTTTTTAAATTTTCAGATCATTGCTTGATCATTGCTCAAGTGCTTCTAAGCTATAAAAAAGAAGGTAATAAGAAGAACAGAATTACATAGGTATGTAATAGGCCTTTTTGGAATGGTAGTAGTGAATTTTTTCAATTAATTAATGTTTTTTAGTTGAGATAAAAAAGTCAGTGTCACGAGCGGGATTCGAACCCAGGACCTTCGACTAGATACGCCGCTGCTCTACCACGTGAGCTATCGTGACTTCGATCCACTCGGACACCAAATTCCCATCTCAACCTCACCCAAACCTGGTCGAGAATCAAATAGATTACACGACATTTGAAAAATGGCAAAAAGGAGGGAAAATTCATAAAGTGGACCACGAAAATTAGTGAATTTAGTAGTGGAGAATTTTTTCAATTAATTAATGATTTTTAGTTGAGATAAAAAAGTCAGTGTCACGAGCGGGATTCGAACCCAGCACCTTCGGCTAGATACGCCGCTGCTCTACCACTTGAGCTATCGTGACTTCGAGCCACTCCGGCACCAAATTCCCATCTCAACCTCACCTAAACCTCGCCGAGAATCAAATAGACTACACGACATTTGGAAAATGGCAAAAAGGAGGGAAAATTCAAAAAGTGGACCATGAAAATTAGTGAATTTAGTAGTGGAGAATTTTGGTGTTAATAAGATCAAAAACTGGAGCTTCCTTTGATTTTAGGTGTTGTATGGAAGAATGAACGTCAGAAGTGAAGTACTGCACAAGTCAGACTACATGCAGGTCTCTTCGCTACATTGGACATTTTGAAAACTTGAAATAGATTTAGATGATAAATTAAATCAAAACAGTAAAATCTTTTACGCTGGTTTTGGTTTAAATACCAAAATTAAATGAAATGAGCGACTAAACCCAATTCTTAAGTTGATTTTAACAAGTGCCTTTTTGGCACTTGACCTTTCTATGGCACGTCAGAGCACATGAAAAAGCAATCCATCAACGTTAACAGAAACCTTAAATTAATGGAGAAGTCAAACGGAGGAAGGAACTCTTGAAAGAGCCATCGCCGAATTTAATGAATTCTTGAAGGACGGATAGGCGTATGTACATCACAATCCTCTTCCCGACAACCGCACATTTCAAAAGCGCCTGAAACAAATAGAATTGACAGCAGAGAACATCTCAGGGTTTCGTCGAGTGTAGAATTTTGCTCTAAGGCCATTCAAGGCTGTGGTTTATTTACCCGGACGAAGCCAAGCCGGGGCCTAAATGAAAGAATTCACACTCAGGGTTCTAGTCAAAAGGCCGGGGTTGGAAAATGAACAATAAACAATAGCCACCTATTCTAAATCTTTGTATTCCCCTTTCACGAAGGCGCTTGGGACTTGTTAAAGCCCAGCACATTGTTTATTTTTGTTTTTTAACGCTATAATTTATCTCCAGCCTCTGATATTTAAGAGGTAATGCTTTAAAAGACTCATTGCAAAAAAAAAGCTCGCTTTTGAACCAAGTAAAATTTTAAAAAGAGATTACATATTCTGGTTTTGTTTTTAATTTGTTTAAAAGGTAATAACCCCAAAGTCATTATTTGTTAAAGCTTGGTTATGAAATCATGATGGTAATTCAAAATGTTATGCTGTATTGATTGTGCAATGCCATTACGTGACTCTTAGTACTTTTACAATGACCTATACTCAATCTGGCTAAAAAATTCTGTATTATTTTTTTCTCAACCCAGTACTGCTATTCCAAAACAGTGAAACAGATATTATATAATCTTTGTTGTTTTCGATGTATATTAATCTAATGGACTTTAACTAATAAATTTAACATCCAAATATTTTCAGTTATGACGCCATCCCAGGTGTCAAATGAGTCCATTTTAGTTTGGATGCAAGTTGCACGAGAACATTACGAACATAAGGATGTATTAAAAAATATATTAAATCATGATAGTCATCCAAAATATTATGCTGTATTGATGGTTCAATGCCATTAGATGACTTAATACTTTTACAACCTATCTTCCATCTGGCTAAAAAAATTCTGTATTATTTTTTTCTCAAGCCAGCACTGCTATTCTAAAACAGTGATACAGCTATTATATAATCTTTGTTGTTTTTAATGACTATTAATCTATTTAAATGGAGTTTGACTTAAATTTAACCTAATTGGATTTCGTGGTCCGATTGATCAAATACCTTCTTTCAATTAATTAATCTTTATGTAAGGTAATGTTTGAGATAAAAAGTCGGTGTCACGAGTGGGATTCGAACCCAGGACCCTTGGCTCATTTCGCCGCTGCTCTAACCACTTGAGTTATCGTGACTTCGATCCACACGGACACCAACCTCCCATCTCAACCCAACCTTTCAAATTTTCCTTCCATTTTCGGATCCCGCTCGTGACACTGATTACCCTAATGAAAGAGGTGGTTAAGA